TCAGGGTTGAACTGTGGAGTCCTTGGGGTTCTCTGAGCTTGGTTGTTTTCTTGCAGACGTGCACTGAAGAAGTTACCTAGCGGGTAATGAAACATCTGCAATAAAACAACCGAGCTCAGAGAACCCCAAGGACTCCACAGAAACAGTCCTAACAATTGGAGCAACTGGAACCAATTACCTAGAGAAGTGGTAGGCCTCCTTTGCTGGTTGTACACTAGCAGTGGCTAGACAGCCATCTGTTTGGCATCCTTTAGTTTGGGTTCTAGCACTGTGATTTTCTATTCTTGATGACATTCTGAAGTTCAGGCTGTGATAAATGATTTACAGTATACTCCTAGGCATGCCTACCATCCTTTGCTCTCAGTGAGACTTACTCTGAAGAGACTCAGTATAGAATTGTGGATGTGCAATATGTAGTAATACCTTTATTACTGTGACTTTATAGTCACTGATCAGCACTGTATACAATTTGTGTAAAAAGATGAAAAGACTCAAATACGTTGAACCATTTTATTTATTTCTATTAACCATCCAGAAAATGTCAAATTTCAAAACACTGTAAATACAAGTAATAGAATTTAAAAAAAATCTAAATACTTAAAACTGGTTGGCTAAATTATAACGCTACTTTGTGAACAAAATACTAAATCACTAGACTACTAAGTGAAGTGTCTATGTGTATTGTGTGTGTAAATATGTATAGGAAACATAAAATGTTATGTATTTAGAAGATCCTAAAATGGAGAGAGGGTTTTCCTGTGTAAAGCAATGGCAGTTGAAAGAAAATTTGTGACTCTCATGGAGATGTTAGGATTTTGAAGAAGAAGCAAATGCAGTCATCCTCACAACAGATGGTGTGCAGAGCTGTGAGGGTGGGGTGCAAGTTGCTGTAGAAGGGACATAGAAGGAACCTTTGGGTTAGTGTCTTAGGTTCCTCCAGGTCACAGGGGCAAAAAGGATATTGTTACATCTTCCTTCCGTTATGGTGGAGGGCAAGGCATGAAAGCGGGCTAAGGAGAGAGCTCTACAGTGTGTTGGGCAGGTAATTTTGAATAGGTAATTTGCTGACATGAAGGGCTTCCTGTTTTTATCTTGCCAGGATTGAAAGCCTAGATTGTCCTACTTTATCTGAAGAGCTGTATCAAAAACCTGCTATTAGATTGTGGTTCTAGATAGCCCTACGGCCAGGAGAGTTTGATATGAAAAGCCATGTGAATTCTGATTTTCCAGCAAAAAAAAAAAAAGAAAAGAAAATTATCTGGAAGGATCATGCTGGAAAAGTAAAGCTTGAGCCAGAAATAGAGCCAACATATTCGGATGCTAAATTCTAGCAGGAGCATCCTAGTTTCTAAGCGGATTGATGTGTGTTTGAAGTACAGCTGGGTACTCAGAAGAGAACTCCTAGGAATCTGGACTAGAAGATTTCTAAGGGCATTAGGATATTATATGCAAATAACTGTGAGCCATATAACATCTGGAAAGTGGATTTGATTTTAAAGAGTTTTGTGCAGCAGGTTTCTTCTTGCCTCTTTTAGTGTGAAAGAAGCCCATATAACCTCAGCATTCTTGTTGGCCTTGTCAGAAATATTAATTTGTGTCAGATTCCAGTTTAGAATACTAGTCTAGTCTATATTGTTTATTTGCTGTTGACATTTTGAGTTCATATAAATATTGAAAAGAAGAGGGGCCAGCAATGCTATGCATGCCTGATTACTGAAGCCTACTCTGTTCAGGGGAACTTACTGGATAGGATTGTACGCCCATCCGTATTGCATTGCATTGCATGCTACCTCAATCACTGAACCAACTGTAGGCAGCTGGCATACTAGGGTTAAAATGATAAAAGCAATATAAATAACAACACAAATAATAATAATACATTACCTGCATCAGGGAGGGCACCATATACTACATCAGTAAAGGATAGGCTACCAGGGAATAAAGTATTGTTGTTGGGTGGCCCCAAAGACTATTGTTTAACCAACAGAGGGGAAAAGTGCAAGTGAAATTTTCTGTCTTCTTTTCCCAAATAATTTGATTGAGATTCAGCGCTAGGCAATCTCCAAAGCGTTGAATATTAGGTGCCCTTTTAATTTAAGGAAATGAAGTTATATGTATGCACACAGGAGCACATTCAATGGCTTCAGGAGAAGGAGTCCCAGATGACACCAAAAAGTCTCCTTTGTTGAAGTGATATTT